CTCTCTCTCTCTCTCTCTCTCTCTCTCTCCCTCTCCAACTCTCTCCCACTCTCTCCCACTCTCTATTTCTATGTCTTTTGCGTGGGATTATCAAGTAGTCAACCAGTGGCTGTTGTCACACCGTTGTGCGACGGTCCTATCGGAGACGAACGTTAAACTAGGAGGTCCCGCCTCTTAAATAACCTAATAGTGTTGATAGAGGCGTTAAATCCGTACCATTTTTTTCACACCGTTGTGCGCCAAGTGCAGTGTATTCCTCTGGCGGTCAGTTCGCTGGCGGTGTGGTGGGGGTAAATTTGCATAATTAGTTAATTAAATAAGGATCCTACAACTTATACAGCTGGCGGATGGCGGTGTGGATGTGAAAACACTATGTTCATACATCATACAAAATGTATTTATATATATATAAACGTACATTGGCAAAACCTGGCAGTAAGCGAGGCTGACAGTACAACGGGGGGCGGTGCGACGTGGTTTGACTGTATTGCATGATTCTTATTCGGATGATAAGATTTACACGGTTTGGGGTTTGGGTTAAGGTAAGGTTAGGATTTGAGTTTGGTTAGCCAAAGTTAATACCCTTACAATGCCCCTAACCCAACCCTCACCCTGACCCTAACCCTACCCAAACCCTTACCTATCTATATATATGTATTTTAAAAAAATTGAATCCAGCAAATTTGAATTAAACTTGCATAAGAAGATTGTCGAAATCTCTCCCTCAACTTATTTTATGAAAAAGGGGTTGCTTTTTACCTTGTTCTGGAATTTTGGGCTGTATTGGAGACTTCTCAAAGATAATCGGCAAACCCTTCTCTGAAATAAAAGATAGTGTGGAAAGGGGACTTAAATAAACCATTATAATAGCTACTTCCACCTGCCACCTTTTTTGGCAGCTTGTTATTCTTGTCCATTGTCCTTTCTAGCCTGGCAGTTTTACAGCTAGCTGCTTCGCCTTATATGACCGACTGTCCCTATATATGACCGACTGTCCTTTCAGTTTGCAGGTGGGCGGAGGCCGACTTTGGTAGTAGCTCCTGCTTTTTTTTTTCGTTTTACGTTTTACGTATGTCTTTTTTTTTCTTTTCCTGTTATGTTTCCTGTGTGTCTTTTTTTTTCTCTTAGTATGTATTAAAAATAGCAGTTGTCTTGTCTTTTTTTGTGTCTCTTGTAACGAAAACTCGACTTTTCAACTCAAAAGGAGGGTGGTTTGCTCAGGTCCTTCTTTACTTTCAAGCATCAATCGGCCGTATCTCTTATTTTTGGGGGTTTTTTGTTATGCTTTTCTAACATCTCTAATCGCTGACCCCCTATTTAATTTGACCTAACTGTATTACAAGTGCCATAAAACGCTAATTAAAACATGGCCGTTGTTGTATATTTTTGTGCTACTTTTGAGAAAAACTTCACTTTTCTACTCAATGAGGCCATTTTATAACATGAAGTCACTATAGAATGTGAAAGATTCTGTGCTAGCATTTCTTCATATTTTTACAAAAACGCACTAAAGACACCGTATGTGGTTGGTTGATGGGAGCCTTGGTGTGGATTGCTCCTACTTTCCCATCAAACAATCCTCGTCAACTGTATAAACTATTTGTGTTACAAGTTCCGTAAAACTCGCACTAAAACAAAAACTAAATGACTTGATACGTATGTCAAAGCTTTGTTTGTTGATTTTTCATCGGCCTTCGAACGCCATCCCACCCTGCCTGTTGATTAAAACGTAGAACGTTAGATGTGTTATAACTGATGTAACTTGTTTATCGCTCTATGGATTTTGGGTTTTCTGTAGAGGTCCCCCTGGTATACAGATATTTAAATAAAAATGGTATAGGTTTAAGACCCCTATCAGCACTGTTAGGTTTTATTTAAGAGGCGGGAGCTCCGATTTAAAGTCCATCTCCGAAAGTCAGGTGGGGAATTCATGTAAAGTGCCTTTCCCAAAGACAACGTTGGACCGAGCTGAGGATCGGACGGTGTCGAACCTCCAAACCCGCAATCTCACGTTTACGGGTCCGGTAGCCTTACCACTAGTAGGTTACCGATGCCACTCACAGATACTCAAGATTCACTACAGACAACAGTATTATAAAAAGGCTAATCAGAGTATTTAAGAAAAGAAAAGACACATTAAAGCCATTCCAAACAGACAGAACTGTATGCAACTTTATACCCGGCAATATTTGAAAGTAAAGTTACCTTCCGAACTTTGTGTTACGGCGGAACATCCTTAAATAGCAACGGAAGGCAGCAACAGTTCCCTACCCTAGAATTACAAAGTTCCATCTGTTCATTACTTAGTTTTGAAAATTCTGACTTAAAAAATTTTGAGTTTCACAACTTTTTCGATCGAATTCAAGTCTTTGAATAATAATAATATCTTAATAACGACTCCGAACAATCTTACGATTTTGATAGAGCAGAGAAAACATTTGGTTTCTAACCTCGTGGTCTTTGTCAATCAAAACGGTCCAAAAATGTCAGATAGCACTTTGTAATTCTAAGGTTGCAACAGTTATAAATAGTTCATTTTTCTCTTTCACACTATTATGAAATATCAACGTAAAAGCAGCAAAGGAGGTCATTTCTGACACGAGACATCCATTGAATAGAGAATATCAAACATCTGTAAGAAGCAAATAATTATGTTTCATTTAAATAAAAAAAAATAAAAAAAACACATAAAAACCAACGAAATACAGAACAAAACAAAAACAAAAACAAGCAGAATCCAGCCGGTGTAAATAAATGTTATAATTTTTCATTCATGATTCTGTCATGTGAGCTTTTCAGTCATCGCCAGGTGTGCGGGGATAGCATAATATTATTGTTCGCCCAATGACGATTTGTGTGTGTGTGCGTCCATGTATGTTAATATATATTATGTGTGTGTGATTGTGTGTGTGATTGTGTGTGTGTGTGTGTGTGTGATTGTGTGTGTGTGTGTGCGTGTGTGTGTGCATGTGTGTGTGTG